TAAAATTTTATGATTTTTATATTTCAAGATTTATTATTTTATGTAAAATATATATTATTATTCTTAATGTTTTTTAATGATTGACCACTATTAAAACTGATTTGAAGAGCATAATTGAGACTAAGAGGAGATTTTATGCAGTAACTTCTAGTAATATATACCATGAATTAAACGAAAGTTAGAGATGGATCAACGTGATTCATGCAGCATTATTAATAAGTGGACTTAATTTTTTACGTAAGGTAGGGAATTTCACAAAACATAATGCATTTTTGTCTATTTAAATTCATATAGAGATTTAGTGGGTTAATAGGTAAGGATAGATTTGGTATAACTTGAAAAAATATATCGAATATGATAGGAAATCTCGTTGTCACATAAATAATAAATACCTTCAAAGTATATTAATCTAAATTCTATATTAATTGATTATGGTGAAATCGAATGCCTTAGAAATTTAACTCTTGGTGTTATTCAAAGTCAATTTAGTTTTTTCTTTAATTATTCTTCTTTAATTGGTTTAGTTAATTCTTTATTCAAATAATTTAATTTCAATTATTCAAATAAAATTAAAATTAGTTAATTTTGGTACTTAATTAGTCTATAGTTTCCGTGAGATGATATTCTATTTTATCATTATATTACTTGAATTGACTAATACTCTTATTAGAGTGAATTTAACTCATCAAGTTTTTGGTGCCGTTGCCAAGAATTGTATTGATTCTAATTAATATCAAAACATATCAATTCTAGTTTTAATTTGATGTTTTTCTTTTATTTGTTTTTCAGGTGTGCAAGTTAGTACATGACTTGTTTTGAAAACACAGAACTTGCACAATTTGATCCTAAGATAGACCAAAATTTTCACCTTTTAAACAAAAAGAAGGAAGCTTTAGTTGTCTATCAACCTCACAAAATGGCAGAAGAAGCTGCTGCAAGAACCTTGAGAGAGTATGGATCACCTTTGATGGACAGTGTGGCCTCACGTATAAGAAAACCAGCAATACAAACTAACAACTTTGAAATCAAACCGACTTATATTCAAATGATTCAACAATTAGTTCAATTTGGTGGATTGCCGAATGAAGATCCAAATGAACATCTTACCAGATTTTTAGAAATTTGGGACATATTCAAATGTAATGGAGTTTCAAAAGATGCAAAAAGATTGAGATTTTTCTCTCTTTTGAGGGATAGAGCAAAGGATTGGTTTTACTCTTTACCGTTGGACTCAATTACTAGTTGGGAAGAGATGACAAGCAAATTTCTTGGTAAGTACTTTCCTTCGTCTAAAACTACCAAGATATGTAACGATATTACTACTTTTATGCAGTTTGACATGGAGTCATTGTATGAGGCATGGGAGAGACACAAAGAGCTACTTAGGAAGTGTCCACATCATGGTCTACCTATATGGTTACAGGTACAAACTTTTTACAATGGTCTATTTCCAAATACTTGTACCATGATTGATGCAGTTACAAGTGGATCATTAATGAGTAAAATTCCTGAGGAAGCTTATAAGCAAATAAAGGAGATGGTTTCAAATAATTATTAATGAAATTCTGAAAGAACACCAATCAAAAGAAATGCTGGAATACATGAAGTTGACACTCCCAAAGTCCTAACAGCTCAAGTGGAGACCCTCTATAGGAAATTCGATAAATTGAACGTTTCTTCTATGCATGTCTAGAATGTCACTTGTGATTGGTGTGGAGGAGAACATGCAAGTACTGAATGTTAGGTAAGTAATTTCTTTACTCAATCATATGAGAATGCTAACTTTGTTGGCAATTTTAATAGGCAACAAATTAATCCCTACTCCAACCACTTACAATCCTGGTTGGAAAAATCATCCAAAATTTTCTTGGAGCAACAATCAAAATTTGGTAAAACAACCTCCAGGATTTTAGCAACCACTTGAAAAAAAAAAAAAAGATTTGGAGGACTTACTAAAAAAGTTCATTGCTGTTAATGAATTAAGGTTTCAAAGTCAAGAAGTAGTGACTAAGAGCTTAGAAGTAGCAGTTGAGAACCAAGGTGCATCAATTCAAAATTTAGAAGTTCGGTTGGGTCAATCGGCAAATGTAATTTTTGGAAGCAACCAAGGTGCTTTACCTAGCAACACAAAGATAAATCCCAAAAAACATGTAAAAACTATAAATTTGAGAAGTGGGAAACAAATTGGTGAGGAAGAAGACATAGAGAAAGAATTAGAAGGGAAGAGAAAGAAAATGAAATTCAAGAGCCACCCAAACCCAAAGAAGTCAAGCCTTAGGTGCCTCCAATTCCTTTTCCTCAAAGATTGAAGCAGCATAAACTAGATAAGCAATTTGCGAAATGTCTTGAAGTTTTTAAGAAGTTACATATTAACATTCCTTTTGCAAATGCTTTAGCTCAAATGCCTAGTTATGCCAAGTTCTTGAAGGAGATATTATCCAACAAGAGGAAATTGGAAGATCATGAGACTGAATCTTACTGAAGAATGTTCAGCAATTCTTCAAAATAAGCTTCCTTCGAAATTAAAAGATCCAAGGAGTTTTACTATTCCTTGCACTATTGGAGACTGTCATTTTGGGAAAGCTTTGTAACTTGAACTCAAGCCTATCCCTTCACATTTAAAGTATGCTTACTTAGAAAATTGTTCTTTACCAATAATTATCTCTTCTTCTTTAATAGGTTTGATAGAAGAAAAACTCCTTTGAATTTTAAGAGAGCACAAATGAGCAATTGGGTGGACTATAGCTGATATCGAGGGAGATAGCCCTTCAATTTGCATGCACAAAATTCTCATGGAGGAAAACTTTAGACCCACTATTCAATCACAAAGGCGTTTGAATCCACATATGCAAGGGGTAATGAGTGTTGAGGTAATTAAATTACTTGATGCAGGAATTATTTATCTTATTTCTGATAGCTCATGGGTAAGTCCAATTCAAATAGTTAAAAAAACAAGGAGGTATGACAGTGGTTGAGAATGGGCATAATGAATTAATTCTTACTAAAACAATGACTGGTTGGCATGTGCACATAGATTATAGAAAATTAAACGATGCCACTAGAAAAGATCACTTTACCTTTTATTGATCAAATATTGGAAAGACTTGCTGACATGCTTTTTATTGTTTTCTAGATGGTTATTCAAGATATAATCAAATTCCTATTGCACCTGAAGATAAAGAGAAAACCACTTTCACTTGCCCACATGGTACTTTTGCTTATAGGAGGATGCCTTTTGGTTTGTGTGATGCACCTGCCACTTTTCAAAGATGCATGATGGCTATACTTCATGATATGGTAGAAAAGTTCATTAAAATTTTCATGGATGATTTTTTATATTTGGTGATTCTTTCGATGCATGTTGAAAATTTTGGATTTGGTTTTGCAAAGATGTGAGGAAACTTATCTTGTCTTGAATTGGGAAAAGTGTCATTTTATGGTGCAGAAAGATATAGTATTAGGACATAAAGTGTCTTCCAGAGGAATTGAAGTTGACCGAGCAAAAGTGGAGGTGATTGAAAAATTAATCCCACCTACTTTAGTTAAGGCTATGAGAAGTTTTCTTGGACATGCAAGGTTTATAGAAGATTCATCAAGGATTTTTCTAAAATCAGAAAACCCTTTTCTAACCTTTTAGCTAAGGATGTTCCTTTTAATTTTGAAGATGAATGCTTGCAGGCCTTTAACAACTTGAAGGAGAAGCTCATAACTGCATCCATCATGAACCAATGTGATTTATGCAGCATTAGTGATATGTGAACTTAATTTTCTATATAAATTAAGGAATTTTACAGAACGTAATGCATTTTTATTTATTTAAATTTACATAAAGATATAGTGAGTTAATAGGTAAGAATATGTTTCGTATAACTTAAGAAAGTATATTGAATAGATAAGAAATTTCACTATTACATGAATAATAAATACCTTAAAAATATATTAATCTAAATTCTATATTGATAGATTATGATGAAATTGAATGTTTTAGAATTTTAACTCTTGCTGATACTCAAGTCAGAGTGGTTCTTCCTGTAGCACAGCATATCTCAGTGTTCCTGGCTTGTGAGTAACAGCGTCATCGTCAGAGGAATCCGTGACAATGTAGTACTCGCCCCCTTTGCCACCGAGGGTGTACTGGCCAAATCCAATGGCACAATCAGCCAGCCTCTGGCGGTTGTTGGCCCAGTCGGGGTCACATTTCCAGCAGTCATCTATGGGGTTGCCGGTCAAACATGAGGATTGGTCTTTCTGTGAAATTTGTAGTGTCTGCCTTCTTGATATGGGCTCATTTACTCTCCTGATTTTCCAATGGGAAAACAAATTAGATTTGCAATAGTTAATGCACCAATTGGTCCAATAATAGTGTAGTAGATGACAGAGGAGAGGGTGAGGATGCATTATGCACATTAACCGACAATACTAAAGCTGAAAGGAAAGTAGAAGGGGGAAAAGAAAAATATGCAAAAGAAGATAAGTTGAGATATGAAGTACGAAACAAGAAAACAAAAAATCAAGCAAGGATTTCTATAGTAAAGAAAGAAAAGAGACGCAGAGCAACCAACATTAAAATGAACAAGTCCGTTGGGTGGTCTAGTGTTAAGAGTCTAAAACTTATATATATCTACATTAGAGATCTAAAGTTCAAATCTCATATGCTGTGACAAAAATTACCAAAAAAAACATTAAAATGGAGGGACAGAAAACCAGTTTATCTGTTATCAATATGAGAAGAAAAAGAAGATAAATAAGTTTAAATATAATAGTACTTTTTAATAAAAAAATATAATAGTACTTTAGTTTTACAAATATTAAATTAAAATAATTAATTGATAATAATTAATTTTAAATATATTCTTTCAGCCAAATTATATAATTAACTAATATAAAAAATAACATGCAAATAAAAAAATTATGAATTAGTCGAAACTTCCACATCATTCTTATCTTTGATGTGGTTTACTTAAATATTATCGGTAAATAGAGTATATTACATATTATTTATTTGTACGGACTTCCTGTCTATTCTAAATTCATTATGTTCCACAAAAACTACCTTCCTAACTAACTCAAGCAGATGCAATCACGCATAAGTGTCACCATGCTCCAAACTATCTCTTATATGTTAAAATCTACAATGTTCAAAAGGATCCCAAGTGCTCGCAATAGATAATTGAAATATTGATTCCCTAGATTAAAATTAAGAGTGTAACTCTTTTTCTCTGCCCAAAAAATGACTCAACCTAAGAAATATACTGAAATACCTAAACAAAGACAAATAAAACAAATAAAATACATTGATAAAGAAACAAATTCAACTTAACCTCACTTGGGCAATTTAACAAACCTATGGTGCGGCAAAAGCTTAAAATAGCCCCTTACCTTGATAAGTTGGACAGTTTTGGCCCCTCACCTTATAATATAACGGTTTTAGCCCCTAACCTATAAGAATAGAAAAAAATAGTCCTTATTTGTAACTTCCGTCGTAGGTCTGTTACTATCCGTCACTTCTGTCACTTCGTCCGTTATATTTCCGTTAACTTTGCCCTGCTTATATAATAAATAAAAAAATGGGAAAGCTTCTCCAAGAAGCCTGTTGCATTTTTTTTGGGAATTCAAACCTTTTTTTTTTTTTCGAGAATTCTAA